TAGATAGATTCCTGGAAAAGTTTCAATGGAGAAGTTCCCAGAAAGAGTTTGAAGACAGATTAGTGCTTTACTTGTCTCTGTCCCCACACTGTACTAAAATATGAAATCGCTGAAATTTTTCCATAAAAAGGGTTGAAGAAGAGCAAACTGACCTTTGTAGAAGGAGGGAGTTCAGAAGAACGTCTCCTTGAATCGACTTGATACAAGTCGTGGGGAGAAACATAAGGATTGGATTCACCAGACGAAGAGCTGAACCGAATCAAACCAGCTTGTCTAGCACATTCGAAGTACTGAGTTATAGGCAACTCATTGTCATAGTCCCACTCTCCAAATGCTGGAATCTGCCCACTTCTCTGGCGATAATCCTGAAACAAAAAGAAGAAAACCTCATAAAAGAATTACCTATAAACGACATATCCATTGAAGATGATAATTTTTTTTCTTTCAAAATGTACTCTTTTTTTTATTTAGACCCTTAATATTGCTTTTTACTCAATTTAGTTTTTTTTTACTACAATTGTTTGCAAATTCTTTCTTCCCATTAATTCCTTGATCTTTTATACTCATCAATATTTTACCCTCAAAATAAAGGAAAATATAATATTTGAATAAATTTTATAATTTTATATTGTATTTGATATATTAAATAACATTATAATGTGAAAAAGAATATGGAATATATATATTATATAGTTAGAGAAAGTCGAAAATTTGAAATCAATCTTTATCATAATACTAAAATAATTATAATAAAATTGGCATAGAAACTCAAATAATTCGACTCGAAAAAAATTTCAAGTTAAGTTAAAAAAATTAAGTTAATAAGTTTTATTTTATAATTTTAATTTTATTTAAAATTTTTAAAGTTGAATCAAGTTATTCAATTTTTATTTAAATTTAATTATAAACATTTATAATTATATGGTACTAATTGATTCCAATTTAGGAGACTCGATTTGAACGTGAAATCAATCCACTTAGGGATGAGCAAAACTAGACTCAAAAAACCGATTTTTTCGACTTGTCTCAAGAATTCGAATCGAATTGACTTCGAGTTATAATTTCATAAACGCAACACGAATAAAAAAGTTAAATTCAAATCGAGTTGTAAAATACAACTTGAATAATTTAAATCTTTTAGTAATTAGTGGATTGATTTTCATGTTTGAGTCGAGTCTCTTGACTCTGTATGGCATATGTATCAGATATGAAAAGAATAGAAACAATATATATGTATTGTACATAGTTATAAAAAAATCATTTAAATTAGAATCAAATAATATCATAATATTATAAATTTTTACAATTAAATTTAAACATAACTATAAAATCCAATTCAACTTGATTCAACCTAAGTATATAATAACTATAAAATCAACTTGATTCATAATATTATAATTTTGAATATATAAAAAATCAACTCAACTTTATATTTTGAATATATAAATTAAGGTAATAAAATTTTTAAAAAGTAGATTGTTATAAATAGACACTAGTAATATTGAACATGACAGACACTTACAACGGATGAAACAAACTTACTTCATGGTTTCAAAAACAAGAAGCATAACAAATACATAAATTGTCATAATATCCGTACCAATGTTGGAGGTTTGAATTACACACACAGTTGGTAAGGCAATTGTAGTCTTTGATTTGTTCAGGGAAGGCAATGTAGTGTTGATACCAAGACTGTAAATGTAAAAACGGATTCATCTCCGGACGAACTACTAAAATTATTTTCGTGAGATCAAGAGCTCTCACGATTCGAAGTCCCTCATCCCTCAATTCGCCCCTAGAACAAACTAGAATAAGGCCATAGACATATATGGCATTGATGTTACCTCTATATGTCACTTGCTTCAAACAATGTAGATTGAAGTCCGAATTTATTCCACTAAAAAGAAATAAAACATGCATTCTCTATATAAAGCTTCAGGATTATTAGTAGCAAGACATCATTGGTGAATCATCTTCTCGGGTTGATACCGCGGCACAATGCTAAAATTTTTCATCAAAATGTTTTGGAAAATGTAATTCTGATCATCAGCTTCATGAAAACTCTTACAACTCAACTGCGTGTTGACGCAATCGACGATGGAGTTAGAAACAACATGGCGTAGAATTTTTGTTAACACTTGTCTAAGGATTTCGACATTATTAAAATACATTTTTTTGAATTTTGCTTTGACCAATTTAGGAAACATTAAAAAATGGGCACTTATTTATAACAATCCTTGCATCCCTCTCGAAGCGAGTACGCGATGGACCTCACGTTTCCCAAGACACGAGGTATATTGGAAAGGCGCGATGCTTTAAATCAAATAAAATCCAAATAAGAAGGATCTCGCGTTACACAGGACGTGAGATACGTGATCCACTGACCTCGCTGGTTGTAAAACACAAGGTCCTAATTCTACAAATATAATGACATTATTAATGTTAAAAAAGGAACCTATTTAATCAATCAGTTTAAAAAAAATGGCATTATTATTTTAAAAATCCCGAAGCTAAAAAACGAGTTGATAGACATTTTTAAAAAATGTTTGAGGTTACAAGCATAGTTTTGCAACTTATATTTCAATTGAAACTAATGTGGACACATGAGAAATTGTAAATGGGGTACTATTTATGTAAATAACTTAAGCGATGTGTACATTTTAATTTTAGCACACAAGATGTGAAATGAGAAATAGATGTTGCATTCTATAATAAACAAATACCACCGTGCCAGGGAAATGCAAAGGAAAATTACTGTCTTCTTTATTTGTGCAGTCGGTACATAGCACAAAGGAAAATGCTCAGAAGCGTTTCTCGAAGGGTGTTCATTTGGACCTCATAGAGGAACAAGTTTCTCGAAAGGTGCAAACAAAAATGTAGATACCACCAGAATAGGATGCCTTGTGTTCTGTTCTGGTACCGTCGATACAAAATGCAAAGGAAAAACATCATTGTTTCAAGAAGTATGCAAAGGAAATCTAGATTCCACTAAGAGAGGATGCATTTTTAAAACTAAAAGTTTTCTGAGTAGGCTTCAGGGATGGTTTGGTTTGGTTCGGTGGAGCAAGAGGAATTAAAATAAGCAAATACAGTCGGGAATATCTGCTGCTGTTGCGTCAGGTGACAACGGGTCGTTTCAATTGCCAAAGAAAATATGCCCTTTTCTCAAAATAAGCAAATACAGTTGGTCAAGCGCTATCGACTTATGTTTGAGTTGTTACTCGCTTTTTGAATGGGTGATTTATATGGTTCGGTATTCAGCTCCTATTGTTGGTCGGGTGATCCTTCTGACCAAGCTTGGCCGCGTGTTGCAAAAATACTTTATGCCAACCGAAGTGTTTTTTTTGGGGGGGGGGATCAGTTTTCATGACTTTTGAACTTTCAATCTTGCTATGCTCGACAAGAATATTGACGGTGCCTCCAAGCCCTGGATAGTCTTTCCATGAGGGTTCTTACTTCCAAATACTTCCATTCGAGTAATGTTTTGATGTCGTACTTGGTGAGCATCTATCTTTTGCTTGGCAAAGTATTTTCGTAACTCTTAAAGAGTTGTGTGATGGTTTTTTCTGTGTATTGACATCAATAGCCAGATTCATACTATCAGGGGTTGGGGTGGTACATCTCCCCCACACTGTGATGGACAATTTAATGATTTTGTTTCCTCACCAAACCTTTTTGCTGATTACATGATCTATGATCTTCCCTGATGAATTCTTCTTAAGTTCAATGATATTTTTTGCCAATGATGCACAAGGTAGTCTCGAAGATGGAAATATTACAACAAAAGTACAGTGAGTGATGTGTCGATCCTCCAAGTGCAAAGTTCAAGATACCTGTCTAAAAGGGAAAAGTTGGAGAGAATGAGTTAGAGAGTTTAGTGTGTTCCAATAAATGCAAAATAAAACATACGAATAACTTAAAAATTATTCAGTATCATATTTTATAAGGTTTTTATTAAAATCACATACAACCGTATACCGATATACACTTCTCCGAACTACATCTATAAGCACTTATCAGAGGCTCACTGTGCGTAGAAGCCTTAGAGCACATTGGGTTACCCTAACCGAACCATAGGAGTGCACTTGAGAGGTGCCTATGGTCCATCAAGACTTACCTTATGCCCATTGGGCGTATAACCCAGTAAAATAGTATGTTCTGTTTCAACAAAACCTGGCTGAAACTCATGAAACTGTGATTCCATATTATCTAATGGTTCCACGGTGCAATGAGAATGAAAAGCTGAATATTTTTCTAATATTTAATCCACTGAAAAACTCAAAGCATCTCTGTCGGTGAAATGAGATACTTGTGGCTGAGAGAGAAAAAGAGTAGAAATTGGTGTGTGATTTCTTGACTTTAGATTTTAGTTCCAAAGCTAGGCCTAACTCATTATTCGGCTGGGTGGCGCAGATGGGCTAAGCTGGTGCATTTCCATTTGACATGTGATAATAACTAAGCCTATGGATTAGGTGAACTACACGTGGAAAACTACAGGGGTGTTTTTCATGACTTTTTTCGCACATGGAACTTAGTTAACTGATGCGTATTCTACATGCCATCCATAACTTTGACTGGTCTAAATTGTATGTTTGTATGATTAACCCAACTCAGTCAATTATCCCTGACAACTTGGTTTTATGACTGATTGCACGCTCAGAGTTGAAATTATCCTTATCCTTGTGATAGGATGAGGATTAACTTTGCAAAGAAAGAGATACCCATGTTTGCTCATCTTATTTTCCACATTTGGTTATAATATATATATATATATATAGATATATATATTAGTTTGCCTCAAACCTTTTCTCTCCACAGGTAAAAGCAAATGTCAAGGCCCCCACAACTAAGTAATGAAGATGCTTTTGACCACATGAGGTATGGCACCTTTGGTTTCTTGTATGGCCTGAGTTAAGGTTTCCCATTTATTATACCTTCCTAAAATAATTTTTTTGGAAATTGTAAATTTTTAGTCAGTCAAAATTTTTAAACAGATTTACCGTCTATCGAAACCTCTAAGGAGCTTGTACCTTTCGAACACATATTTTCGAGTCAACTATAGTGCATAACAGACGTGAAATCTAAGATTTGACTATCACATTGACGCCAGACAGAATAGTGATTATCCTGTAGGCTAGTTCCGACAGACGATTCACAAGAGAAAATTCGCCCAAAAACAGAGAAAAAAGTCTCTAGGGTTTAATAAATATTCTAAAATCAAACAATCCAAAAAGCAGCCACAAGCCGGGACTGTTATAGCAAAAAAAATCGTCTTTATTCGAATTTTGCCAAAAATAGCAAAATCCCGAAAATCACTCTAATTGAAATTCAAAATAAATAAGCAATCTCCAAAAATCCGGCCTAAATCGGATTTAAATTGCCTTCCTAATTAACAATCGAAATATTACCATAATATAAAAAATAACTAAATCTAGTGATTCGGAGGGGAAAACGGCAGAATTGAGGTTGAAAAAAGGCCACATGGCTCCATGTGGAGAGCGTGCGCGTCGAAAAGACTTTACGGATTGGGGTCTTATGCGCGATTCTGACACCTGTAGCCAAAGTTATGGCCAAAAGACTGAAACATACTCAAAACGACCTCAATGAGGAATGTCACAATCAATTCCCGCCTTTGCGCTGATCTGCCAACTCATGGTATCTCAGCGCCATCAACGTGCAACAGTCAAAACTGATAGAAGGGTTGAACTTTCAGTAATCTACACCAATCTTCCTCCTCTTCCTTATGACCAATCTTCCTCTTCCTTATGACCACTCTTTGTCACAAAGAAATATATGTCGTAACTCTCCTCCAAACTAGGTGAGATGAATCGTCAACGACCAACAAAATAAACTAATTGTTCTCGTCGATACAGCTATTTATCATATGCTTATCTACAAGCTGACATAATCCAACTTTAAAGGAACTCAATGGCTACTTAATCAAGGGATGATTTTTATGTGTAATCACCGACATATTGACATGTGAGCATTCGAATTTCAGCCGAACAAGTTACATAGTACATGGAAAGTAAAGGAGCTTGAGAACACGAAAGCTTGAAATCCCAGGTACTTTGCTCAATCATACATGACATAATAATATTCAAAGCATGAAATCCTATTCTTTGCATGATAACAACTCAACGTAAAGCTTATAACCCTCCAAAAGAAAATAATATCTTCTTTGAATGATAAATACGAGTCTCCCAAAAAAGGACAAAGAAAAATATTTGTGGATAATCTAAAATCCTTGAAACTTTACCATATTGTGGACAAAGAAAAAATATATTCTTTGAATGGTCGCTTCCTCTGAAAAATTATTTCATATATTTTTAGATATATTCTTTGTAATTTTATCGAAAATATTTTTTCATTCATTAAAATTATGTAAGTTCATTCCCCCTAATATAAAATATTGTTTCTGTCCTAGCCTCATCTCTTAACACTTGTTTATCTCATTCATCTCCCCTTTTGTTCTATTTTAGCACCTTTCCATCGAATCAACTACTCTTGGCTCATTTTAGTATTGAAGCCTAGTTGTTTTCTCCTTACAAATATCAAAATATTACCTTTTTGTCATTGTTCTTGAGCCCTGCCGTGATAGGTATGAATGCTAAGAAGTCTTGAGGAATAACTAGCCACAATTCTATAATTATTATTCTAATCTGCCCTCGTGTCTTTCTTAATATAAGACAATTACATGTTATAGTTTTTAAACTTAGCCCCCTTGTACTAATTGACACATGACTAATCCTACTGAAGAGCATATGGCAGCATCAAATGAATTCTCAAGTACTTGAAGAAAACCAGGACATGGTTTAATGTTTAAGAAGACAGAAGACAGAACTGTTAGATCTTTACAGATTCTAGTTGGACCGGAGACCTTACTGAAAGGAGATACTAGTGGCTATTGCACCTTTGTTTGGGGAAACCTTACAACTTAGAGAAGTAAGAAACAATCTGTCGTTTCAAGAAGTAGCGTTGAAGCTGAATTAAAGCACTAGCATTGGGAATATGCGAAAGAATTTGGCTACTTAACTACTGAAAGAACTTGTCACTAATCAAGAGAATCACTTTAAAGTTTTGGTGATAATCAATCTGCTATTCAAATTGCCAAGAACCCAGTTCAACATGATCGGAAAAAGCATGTTGGGATTGATAGGCACTTTATTGCTGATCAAGTTAATAAAAAGACAGCTATACTTCATACATTCCTTCAGAAGAACAAGTTGCAGACATTCTTACTAAGGCTTTGCCAAAGCCTGTTTTCAATAAATTCCTATTCAAGCTGGGATATACAATGTATATCTCCAGCTTGAGGGGGAGTGTAGGAATTATAGAGATGATTTGTTACCATTCCTATAGAGATATGATATTCCTATAGAGATATGATTTTGTAAATAGATTTCTACAATCCCTTATTTTAAGGGATCATATCCTAGAATTTTATTTCCTTTCTTAGAGTTTCCTACTTTAGAGATATTTTGTATATAAATATGTAATCTGTCTATTGAAAAGAATAAGAAATTACAGAGAATTACTCTGAATTCTACATAAATCTTAGCCACCAAACGAGCTTTTTACCTCTCCACCTCACCAGAAGCCTTACGCTTGACTTTATAGACCCATTTGCAACCAATTGGAACCTTCCCTTGAGGTAAAGGAACTACAACCCAAGTATTGTTAGATTCTAGATCCTGAATTTCCTCGTGCACAGAATTTTCCATAAATGGTTAAGCATAGCTTTAGAAAAAGATTTAGGCTCAACAATTCAAGGAAAAAAATAAAAGCTTGTGTTTTAACAGGTACATGCGAATAAGAAAACGAAACAAAAGACTGAACTAGAAGGTAGATAGATTGGTAAGAACATATGAAATCCTGTAGCCAAGAGAGTGGTTTGGAAACCCTAGAAGACTTACGAGAAACATGTAACTCAAGGGTAATAGAATAATACCTAGGGAAAAATGTCTCAACAGGTAATTCAGAAGGAACATCTAGCGCAGTGGGAATACTTGTTGAAACAGGAGAAGACTGAAACGAGGGAGATTGTAAAATAAGAGAAGGAGAATGGGATGACAAAGATAATTGATCATCCATAACAGAAGAATAAGATGATTATGTGGTAGCATGAGGAATAACCAAATAATCTGAATCAGAAACATAAGGCTGAGAAGGGAAAAGAAGCGGAGCAGACTGAGAGAACTCGTGAAAGGAAAACATTTCCCTGAAGATACATCTTGATTAACAAAAACTGCTTAGTATCCAAGTTAAACAAAACATGCCCTTTTTTAGTATTAGAATACCCCATGAACACAGCAAGAATGACCCTAGAAGCCAATTTATTTTGTTATTAAGAACAGTAGCAAAACAAAGACAACTAAATACCCGTAAATGTGAATAAGAAGGTTTTTTGCTAAATAAAGCTTAAAGAGGTGATTTTCAATTAAGAATTGAAGACATAAATGATTAATAATGTAGAAAGCAGTTAAAACGCATTCACCCTAAAATTTAACAGGAACTTTAAATGGAACCAAAAGCCCTAGCAACTTCCGAAAGATGTCTTGCTTACGTTCAACCACACCATACCATTTTGTTGTGATGTGTAAACACATGATCTTTGGTGAAAAATCCCAAGAGAAAAAAACAATGGACTATACTTAGAGTTAAAAAACTATGTCCATTATCACTACGAATGATACTAACACTTGCCAAAAACTGAGTTTTAAGGAGAGCAAAAAATTAAAAAGTAACAATGACATCAGTCTTTAATTTCAGCAAGTAAACCCACGAGACTCTAGTACAATTATCCACTATGGTAAGAAAATATATGTGGCCACTATGGGTGAAATTCTATAAGGTTCCCAATGATCAACATGAAGAGAGAAAAAGGCTTTTGAGACCTTGAGGTACTGACAGGAAAATGACTTCTACACTATCTAGCCATAGGAAATCAAACAATTTTTTAAGACAATCAAAATCAAGCTTAGTATTTTGAAGATAAGGCAAATGATGCAATTGAGGCAAAAGGGCATGCCCTAAACGAGCATGCCATATATTTGTTTTATTAACAACATAGGTCATACGTGAAGAGAAGTTATTATTTTCAAATGGAAAATGGGAAGAAGGCAAACCCGAAGCAAGACCCTTAGACGAAGACTTGAACACGTAAATACCACCACACTGTCTACCAATCTGCCTCATCCTTCCAGTAGAGAGGTCCTGCAAACATAAAAATCGAGAAAGAAAATGACAACACATCCAAGATCACGAGTAAACTTCGAGATTGAAATAAAATTATGATTGAAAATTCGAACAAACAAAATGTTATTGAGGTTACAAACATGATCAAAGGAAACTGAACCAGTGTGCGTAATTGGAGAAATATTATCATTTGGTAGATGAACAAAGCGGGAAATAGAGGGACAAGCACAGGGTTATTCAGGGCAGAAAAATCAGACAATATGTGATTTTTAGCACCGGTATCCAAGACCCAATCCACCATTTTAGCACTCAAAGAATCTCGAGAAACAATACATACCATATTAACTGCAGGTTCATGAGAAGGCCCTTTCTGTGTTTTAAAAGGCGTGAGGCGCTCCAAGGCGATTAGCTACCCGAAAGCCTCAATTTTTGAAGCGCTTTGAGGCGAGGGATTCACGTACGCGAGGCGCTTAATTTTACAAAACATTTAAATATTTTATAACATACCTCAAACACAAAACAACTTAATAATTAACTTAATAAGCAAAAACACCAAGAAGCATATGTCATATTGTATCTCAAAAAGACAAATAAAAACATCATCAATAATCAAAATGCCTAAAACTTATCTTCATCATCATCGTCATCAACATCAATCCCAAGCACCTCCTCCTCCCCATCATCTTCGGAAAGTCCAATATCTTGTTCTATCTCTTCATCGTCTTCATCAATCAAATTTAGTCCAGTAGGGCCTTCTACGAGTGGAGGTTTGGGCAACACCCTTTCCTCTCGCAACCCGTAACAT